ACTACGATTTTAATCATGAGTAGGCAAAGAAGTGAGAAATTTGACTAACTGAACATTGAAAAATGACTGTCGTAAAATATATTATTAAAGGATAATTGTTGATGTTATTTGATATGTTAAAATTTGTAATTAAAAGCTTTAAGGGCTTCTTGGGCGAACATCACCAACTGCAGGTTGTGCAAAATAGGTTTCTAAGGTGACAGACTTGCATATTCCCACAGTGATTGAAAATATTAGAAAATCCAGAAATCCAGTTGTATTCTCTTCAGCCATGGTTCATCTTGAATGGGCTTCATCGAGGTCACCAGCACATGGATATCGCAGAGGCAGTTGGCGTTTCTCAGAGCTTCGTCTCCCTAACTTTAGCCCGATTCCGAGAGACAGAAAGTGCCAATAGGAAGCCTAGCAGTGGATCTCAGCATATTACGTCGCTAAGGGAGGACAGAAATATTGTCACTGCTGCAAGACGAAACCCTTTCCACAGTGACTGCCAGATCCTAAATTAAGTACAAGATGTTTTGGCAAAGCTTTTATCAACCCAAACGATAATCATTTGTGGGAATATGGCATCACATCGAATGCCCCTTTGAAACGATCTGCAGCAACAGCCCGCCACCAACACAACTCAGGAGAATAGGGTGCACCGAGCCCCTAAAAGAGAACACCAATCGAAATGTTGATATATTTAATGATGAGTCGCGTATCTGTCTTTATAGTAACAGCAGGCGCCGAAGAGTCTATCGAGAACAGGGGATGCGTACAATGCCCCAGTTCGTGCTCCCTTCAGAGCAGTTTGGAGGAGGCGGAGTAATGGTCTGGGCTGGGATTTACGCTGGAGGACTAACTGGACTCCACATTGTTGAAGCCAACTTCACCGCAGTCCGTTGTCCAAGAAATCATCGAGGATCTCCCTCAAACTAGGATTTCACTGACAGGGATTTTCGATTTTTGGATGACAATTCCAGACCATGCCAGGCAGAGTTGTTCATCAATGTTTAGAAAAACCTGGGAATTTCCCATCTGCCTCTTTCCCATAGTCTCCAGACCTCAATCCCATTGAGCAAATGTGGGATGCGTTGCAGAGGCTTTTCGATCGCCATACGCAGCCAGTTGACCTGTTAACAGTATGCCTAACAGGTGCACAGAGGTTTTAGCTATCAGAGGACGTTATACTCCATATTAAGGGTTTAAAAAAATTATTGTGTTCAATAAACAAAGTCAAGGAATTAAAACCTTCTATTTTATAATTTTTCAAAATCCATTAATTAAATTTTCCTTCAGGAAGCATAATAATTTCTAATAAATTTTAATGCAATTATATAAAAATAAAATAAAAATGCTAGGAAAAGTAAATACTACAAACAAAATTGGCAATATCCCTATTCAGTTTTGAGCAGTTTATTTCAATGTGCTACAAGATAGGTAACAATCTTATGGATTGTTAGAAAATCCTTTCATAATCTTAAGAACGTTGATCTTTGGATGTGACTGTTCACAACAGAAACTCAAATGCAAACATTTGGACTTGTATTTTGCCAAACAAAATGAAATTGGATGAATCTATCAAAACTCATTACGGGCAGTTTAAAGAATCGATATGTCTTCCATTTTATTTTATGTGGACCAAATAAAAATCAATGAAAAGCCCATCAAGGGGGAAAGTTACAGGTCATTGACAAGGGTCTGAGCGACCATAAAACATGTCCTTATGAAAAGTGGGACAGAACGCTGATTACTGTACACGCTGTTTAATAAATTTTGATTCCTTTTATTTTACACAAAAAAAGGCTAGTTATCTATGTTTTCCCCCAGCGGTCCCTTACAAAAGGTGAGAGTTGATGCCTGACAATAGAAGGATCGTGATCAGAATCTTATAGGGTCGGGACAAAGACACAAACGTTTTTCTACAACAGCTGCAGTATCGTCAATATTTAGATGTGCACGACATGAAAACTAAACTGTAGTTTAGCTTAATTCCTAATGTGTTTTTTTTCCGACCATTTTTGGTATGTCGGACGTGTTGAATCTTCTCAACAACTTCAGTTGCAAATAAATTTGTACAAAATAAATGTACAAATAGAATCTATCACATCCAGGCGTTGGGATTGGTAGACTAATTAATGGGAAATTCTACTAACCTAACATAAAAAGAGGTGTGGACAACACTCTGAACAAGATATTGTATCGGCTGTCAGCTTAGCAAAGAGCATCAGCACACTAACTCACCCCTCTCAGGGTTCAAGTTTCCACAGGAATGTTTTTGGCATGTGCATCTAGATATTTATTTATTAAAGAATGCTTGTGCTAAAAAAAAAGAAAAACGCTTATTTCATTCGACAAGCTTTCGAAGAATATACCCCATAGGAATTTGTTAACGGTTTAAATCATTAGAAAAAATTTCAATGTGCTGATGAAGGGAATTGAAAACCTCCTCGGACGTACAGAGGAACTGATTGGTTTTTCTTTCCTTCAAATTTGTATTATCCCTGATCATTTGTACATGTAATTAAAATATCAAAGCAATCAATCACATCAAGATAACATGTAGATAGTGTCGATCCCCTGTCCTGCAGGATACTGATTACATATTGTCCTCTGCAGATTCGTCAGCTGAGTCGAAGCTTTCCTTATGTAATGGCAGAATTTGTCATCGTGCATTTTATGAACGTCAGGGTTGCCAGATTCACAGTGCCATATGTACTAATGTGTGGTTTTAGTGACCGTTCTAAACCTACGTTCTAACCTACCGTCACACCAGACCGCATCTCACGATCTCCAAATAATCAAAGTACCATGTACTGTAACTATAGACCTTAGCATGCAATTCGAAAGCAAGTCAAAGAGTTAAAACAAAAACATTACCCGCAATCAAGCTGACTACAAAAGCAACCTTAACGGGAAGATATTTAGGTAGGAAATTAATCAATTGTTCATTCTTAAGTAACTTAAAACTCTATCCAACAAATTCCAACAAAACAAGATTTTCTCTTTAATCCGCAAATAGCTGTTCTTCCTGATGTAGCAGATTTCCGACGATTCAGGATTGCGTTGTGAGCAGCTCGGTCGGTTTCCGCAGTAAATGTCTGGGACGTCCTGGAGGCTTGTAACGTGGTGGTCGTATTTATAAGAAAATGATGAGATGTCCTTCCGAAGAAAAATTGAAAGCCATATTGCTCAAATGGTTATGGCAGGCACATTGCGCTTACCGGGCAAATTTTATTATTCCCCATTGGAGATTCGAAGCAATTTGCTCAACATTTACAAAGAGCTAGGCACACACAGAGAAGCGCAAAGGAGAAAGTTCCAAAATTACCACAAAATGGATGTTTTCAATGGTAACGAAACTGTAATGGGCTACAAAAAAAATTGAAAAATGGTAAAAAGGAGGGAAAATTCGGAAGGTGGATTGAGATGGGAAGTCGGTGTCCAAGTGGATTGAAGTCGCAATAGCTCAATTGGTAGAGCAGCGGCGTATTTAGCCGAAGGTCGTGAGTTCCAATCCCGCTCGTGACACTGACTTTTTTTTATCTCAACCAATACCTTACATAAAATAAAAGGTTTCTTAAATATTTTAGCATCGTTTAACAGGAACCAGTGTACTACCTTGGATCGTCATAAGCCAGCTTTGTTGGTGCAACAGGAGTGTCTACGGAAAAACCAGCAACATCACCATAATCAGAAATTATTTCTACCGCCGACAACAGTAAACCACAGTACAATGAAACCCTTGTTAAGGGACAGTCATGATGTCACTATTTTTGTCCTTTTTCTAGTGGTGTCGTCTAAAGAGATATTTTTATCGCCTGATAACAGCATAGCAGTCTGAATATGTATACCACATGTAGATTTAGATGTTTCCCTCTTAGCGTTTTCTTAAACTCCAACTGAAATCACGTAATGAAAGCAATTCCAGAAAGAAAATAAGATTGGATGAACGGGAGGAAACCGGCAACACTTTAACAAATTCACTGTGACCCTCCATGAATCAATAATTAGAGACATTTTATAAGGTGGGGGGGGGTTGAAGCAGAAGACAGTTCTTTCCTCCACTGCGACCTTAACAGGTCTATAGTTTATATCCATGCATTGAAAAATGTGTTATTGGTATAAGAAATGTCTTACCAAAGTCGTTGTACCATAAACGGGCTAATGCTATATATTCGCATGCCGGTGTCTCTAGTTCCTCCTGACAGAGCTGGCATGTTTCTGTGTCAGCTTTGCCCCTTTTCTTAAGATGATAGTTATGAGAGCAGTGGCCGGTACAGAGGCCAATAATTTTCCTTAAAACCTACCTGCAGAGATTTACAGTTCCTACGCCTTCCGTTTTGAGGGATTTATAAATTGGACTCCTGACAGGGGCTTTGCCGCCTAAGAAGCACTGCATAGAAATACACACAGAAGAAACACTGTGCAGATACTGCCAGGAAGAAGAGGAAACTGCAGAAATATTTTATGAATCTGTGACTTCTATGTAGGTGTAGATTCTAACAACTAGGAGAAAGATCCTAAGGAGGAAAGATCCTAACAACTAGGAGATCCTAACATGAAAATGGCCAATGAATTAATAGATGAGTACAATAGATCTTAGGTCGAGGTGCAGTAGGCCTCGTGAGCTCCTCTTTTATCCATATATGTCTACTTGCATACCTTGTCAGTTCGAACCTAAAATGAGTTGTAACTATCCACTGGCAGTCTGCAGCCACTTTTACACCAAATTTAAACTGCTGTCTCAACAAATGCATTCTTCCTACAACCGTTCGTCTATTAAATTTCTGATTTTGCAACTCCGCATCCCTTATCAACCCACTTCGTGCTTATTGTTCACCCTTTAGATGTTCTGTATAGTTCAGAGTTCAGCATAAATTCAACTAACCATCTGACATTATTAACCGTTTCATAACTGTCCGAACTGCTTTCAAACAATACCGATATTTCAAGGCTTGATCCAATGAATACTTTCGTTAAAATAGATAATAATAAAAACGGGAGATGTCACCTACCTTTCTGAGTCGGAGAATTTCCTCGTCCTTTGATTCTTCCTGAAGCATTTCATCACCGCCGACACAAGAATTGCTTTTCTTTTTTAATGCCGATTCCTGAAAAAAATGGGAAAATTCGTACTTTAATCGGTATTGAGGAATAAATATTAAAACACTAGAGAAAATTTATTTATAACCATATTAAATATGTAACACTTAGCAAATTTTTCATGAAAATTATTTATACATGATCTGTATTGCTACAGTGCACATAGTGATAGTATAGTTATATTACAAGTCGAATTTTTTTTTTTTTTTTTTTTTTTTTTTTTTTTTTTTTTTTTTTTTTTTTTTTTTTTAACTTCAGGTACATAATTAGATACTTGTGTATTATGTGGGAGGAGTCTAATTATTTAATGGCTTTGATGTGGAATGTATAATAGAACAAGCTATTATTTTTACCTTAAACCTCGACAATTAAGTTGATTGCTAATAATTATAATTAGCAAGCATGGTCTCAAAATTGTGGACGTTTTAATTTTCTTGTAAACCCTTAAATTGGCCTGAATGGACAGATCTTCGTTGAAAATTAATAAAGTGAAACACACCGGTCTCTATCGTTTTTTTAGAAACAGACAGATAAACAGTGGTAAGTGTGATAGGCAGGGATCGGGGAATAATATTTCTTCTTAAAATTTAGGTAATCAGGTCAAGAATAAGATTCGCCTTCTTTTTTTGAATTACTGAAAAGTCAAGGCTCCTGAGATTATTATGTCTCAATCTAATTAGGTTCTATTTCGATGAAGCTACGCCACGTTTTATATAACAGAAGCACATCTGTATGTATATTAAACAATTAAAATTTAAAAAAAGTTTACGTTTTATTAAAGATTTTACCTCCAGTGAAGACAAGAATGAAATGAATGCGTCTTCAATTCATCTCCATTAAACATCCGGCGAGATTGGATAAGTCAACGACCGCTCATCTCACAAAAATTTATAAATGAGTGTAAGATTGTGGGAATGTGTCAGTGTTTCTTTTGTATTGTCTGTTCGTGCTCATGTGTGTTTGTGCGCGTGCGTTATGCGTACGTGCGTGCCTGTGTACACAAGACAATCAACCAACTCAATCAAACGTGGCACGTGATAAAAACTGACCTCAGATAGCTGTTAAACTTCAGTAATTCGAGTAATGTTGGTATATTTTCATTATTATTTTATTTTTATATATTCTTCTTTTGTTATTTATTGTATTTTTATTATTTACTTTTGACCAAAAACGTTATGGTATTCAATTAGGGGGCTTCAGACCGTTCTTTTTCAAAACAAATGTGTAATGTTCTTTTCTTCACCCAACATACAGTAATTGAAATAATAAACAGTTCAAATATTAAAAGCATAAAGTAGCAACAAAACGTGTAATAAAAAAATTTAAAGAAAAAAATTGCGGAAAAATACATCAGCATCTAAAATACAGTTCTTTGAAGGATGTTATTCTTAAATGTCGATTTGGTCCACAGGTCTGTTAGGTGATAAGGCTAGAGTTTGTTCGTTTCTCATCATCTTGGTCTTCCTTCCCAGTTAAATTGTTCTGTATCCATTGAAAAGGATGAAATGCGGAAACAGACAGACCGAAACAGCGAGGATAGGCGGACCAGCAAGATCGGAAGCAACCAATGTCTTCGGGGTGTTGTTTTTTGGTCTGCCTAACTTTGCTGGATTTGTCTGTCAGACGCGTTTCAGAATTGAGCCACTACAGTGTTTTATGTGATTCTGTCAAGTCTCTTTTATAAGAATCTGTATCGATTTTGAACTTCCACATTTTGCAAATTCTTGTCTATGGGATTTATATTTTAAAAAAATATTGGTCCCAAAACTGACCACTGGAGTGACCCTCTATATCCCTAAAGAAAGATATATACTTTGCCTTGTTCAGGGTTCGTGATGGTTTTCTAACAGATAAGTTTTTTATTTTTCGTCCTGCCTGCAAGATTTGTCTCCTCAGTCGGATGTTATGGTGTATATGACGTTTTTGTCGAGTGGGTTGGTTTAGTCAATGTTTTGTCTTGTAGTTTTCTCGTTGTGTTCGTGGTAGTGCTGTTTTGATTCCTAATTTGTGAAGAGATTTTTTCTTGTTTCTTTCCACTGCTTTTGTTATGTTTTATTTTTGGATGTATCATTTGTTTAATATTTTGTTGATCGTGTTTACCTTGGAGCCAAGGAACGATGAATCATTCTTTTTACTTTTTTTATAATTCTACAGGTGCTTATAGAGTTGTTTAGCCTCACGACGAGAAGTAAAGGCAACGAAGTATTGGCTTGCTATGTATTCCCAAAGACGAATGATAATATGAAAATAGCCTTTACCACAATATATAATGAAAAATGTAAATCTAAAATTCAGTTCCGTTTATATGTTACAAGCAAAATTAGCTTTGTTCTATTGCTTCAATAAATTAGTTTTGAATTAACGGTTCGATTTCGTCTTAACGTCAGCTAGGTGATCTGGGCTTGTTTTTGGTCATATCACAACACCGTGGATTTCTTTCCCCGTAGGTGTGATCTTTGTCCGTTAAAGAGGCTGAAATGCAGAAATAAGAGAGACCAAAACTGCGAGGAAAGGCGGACCTGGAAGGTCGTAAACAATAACAGATCGTGATGGGAACATGTTTCGGTGTTATCGTTGTTCCTTTTTCTTTTCATTTTGACATAGTGTTTTGAATGGTGAAAACAGTGTAAGCTGTTGTTAATTTGTGTATTTGCGGGGTTTTTTTTACTGTTAAATGAGTTGTGTTTGTTTCTAAGTTTTTAGCTATATTCTTTTCCGTCCGTTTTGAACCTGTTTGTAGTATGCTTGCCTGTATTTTTAAGGATTTGTAATAGCTTTCTATGAGGTAAGTTCTGTATTTTTTTTCCGACTTGTATTTAAACCATCTTTTATGTTCTTTGTCTTTTATTTTTCGTTCTGTCTGTCTGATACATTTGTCCCTGCATTCAAAAGTTTGGGTGGGCTTTGTCTTACATTAATAGTTTTCCTATTGTGCTCCTGGTCTTCAATGTTGTTTCTCAATTTTTTTTTAAATAGATTTTTTAGTTTATACGTTTATTCCCCCATGAATGGAAAGTAGTCGCCATTATGAAGTTCGATTTTGAATTTCTTTTTAGTTAGTTGTACTGTTTTTAGCCTATCAATCGGCAGACCAAAATGACCAGTCCTGAAAGATAGCAACAAAATAGCACCCAACAACCCTTTCCTCTTGATGAAGTGTAATCAGATTACTTGTGTACGTGCAGTCGACGGTTTTGAAGCCATCCCCTACGGGATCGTAACATATACAACGGCAAAGGTATTTCGCGCCCGTTAAGTAAGATCTATGCTATTGGGTTGTCCGGAAAATAATGCAGGATTTTGGTATTAAACAAAAAAAAAGAAACTAGTTACTTTAAAGCAATGTTCTTTAATCAAAATAATTTCCCATACTCTCAATACATTTCTCCCAACGTGTTGGTAACTTATTAATTCCGTCTGAGTAGAATTCAGAATTTTTAGAATTGATAAAGTCAATAAATGCATTTTCCAGTTCCGTTTGATTTTTGAATATTATGTGTTCTAAGTAGTGGTCCAGGTGTCTAAAAAAATGGTAGTCAGTAGGCGAGAGGTCCGGAGAGTAGGGTGGGTGAGGCAAAGTTTCATAGCCAAGCTCCAATAATTTTTGTGACGTTACACGTGACACATGTGGTCGAGCGTTGTCATGCAACAAAATGGGCCCTTTCCGATTGACCAAAGAGGGCTTCATTACTGCCAATTTCTGATGCATGGTATTAATTTGGTTACAGTATGATTCAGCATTGATGGTTTCGCCAGGATTTAAGAAGCTGTAGTGTATTAAACCAAATGAAGCCCACCATACCGTAACCATTACCTTTTTTTGATGAGTTGGGGGCTTTGGAAAATGTATTGGAGCTTCTCCTTTGTCGAGCCACTGTCCAGAACGTCTAGTGTTATCGTAGAGAATCCACTTTTCGTCACATGTAACAATTCTGGCCAGAAATGGGTCATTTTTGTTTCGACAAAGAAGTGATGCACAAACATCAAAGCGCTGATTTTTTTGGCGATCGTTTAATGAGTGTGGAACCCAATTTTCGAGTTTTTTCACTTTTCCAATCGCCTTGAGGTGGTCAGCGACGGTCGTTTTACTGACTTTGAGTTGCTCTGCAAGTTCTCGAACAGTTGTTTTGGGGTTTTCTTCCACCACTGATCGCAGAACATCATCATTAAGAGAGGAAGGCCTTCCACGACCTTCTTCATCTTCAAGGCTGAAATCTCCCTCCCGAAATTTTTTAAACCACCTTTGCACAGTGCACTCATTAACACAACCCTCGCCCCAGACTTGGTTAATGTTTCTAGCCGTTTGGGCTCCGCTTCGGCCGAGTTTAAACTCGTAAAAGAAAATCGTACGAAATTCTCGCTTTGACATTATAAGGATGACTGAATTATTTCCAAGTAGCGGAATGCTACAGAGGTAAACAAACAATATCATTTGGAAGAGGATTAATAAGTGTTGACATTCATACAAATGAGTAATCCTGTAAACGTAAACAGAATATTTTATATAGATTTTTTTTAATGAAAACTTAAAATCCTGCATTATTTTCCGGACAACCCAATAGAATCAATAGAAATGATCTTGATTCAATTATGCCGGGTAGAGAATAAGATCTGTTTTGTTTATAAGCGGAACTGCTCCATGAGCTGAACGTTTGCTTTCTAAAAGTTCCACCGTACTGAACATTAATCATGTTATGTGCAGAAGGAAAGAAATCTTATATTTACATGAAACCGTTTTTTTTATATATTTAATTTACAGCCTCTTTTCGACATACCGAGACACTTTTCCTGTCGTGAGAGTTGATCAATAAAACTTACATTAAAAAATAAAACTGTTTATCAAGCTTGAAATTGAAAAGTTGCATTTTTCATGAAACGTGATGTGTTCAACCGGAAATTATAAACTGTTCAACTCTAATCGTCGTTTTTTATGTATTTGAAACACTTTCAATTCAGCTGTAATCTTTAAAATGGAAGTCTTTGTTGAGTATTAAGTATCTAGATGATT